TTATATTATATTATATTATATTATATTATATTATATTATATTATATTATATTATATTATATTATATTATATTATATTATATTATATTATATTATATTATATTATATTATATTATATTATATTATATTATATTATATTATATTATATTATATTATATTATATTATATTATATTATTACGTCTTCTCGACATAATGTTAACCAACACAAACAAGCTACAGCGTTTGAGGGCGGGGTCAAGTTGCTCATGGCCATAGTTTAGGAGGTAAATATGGCGAAAGTCAAAAAAAATGTTGTAGATAAACTGACGTTTAACTAACCATGCTACGTGCAATGAAATACAGTTTGCTCTGCAAGAGACAAACACTGACAGATTGCACCATGAAAATGACCATTATATTTCATTTAGCAGACATTATAAATAATAGTTGAGACTGAAAGTCACTGTATAATTCATACGCTGCTCACAACACCCTAGAAACATGCTAGCCACCACATAAGCAACCACAACAACAATGCTAGCATTTTAACATGGGCAAATTTCACCCATAGGAATCCAATAGATATTAAAGCTGTATTGTCGTATTGCTGACATAAAAGAAGAAAATGAAGGTGAAGAAGGGAAAGACATCCTGTTTGCCCAACGTGCTGAAGAAGAAGAGAAGGAAAGAGTCAAGTGTAATCTTTAGAGATTACAAATTTCCCAATGTGTAATCTTGTCGACTGGCACGAGGCAACTCAGACTGAAAAATTAAAGGGGTCATGAACTGCTTTTTTAAAATTATTTTGTACTGTTCTCTGAGGGCCACTGTTTTGACCCCCTCATCAGAGCGCTCTGTTTGAATAGACGTGACGGACTGTAGACTCGGAAGTAAACGCCACTGCTATAATTCATCCACTCTTTCCTAATGTTGGAATCAGAAGGAAGGCGATGCAAAGTTTCGTTTGCAAAGTCGTTTGATTTCTGTGTTTGATTTCTACGTTTGCCTCTCGTTATTTACACTACATGCTTGAATCGCTGGGCGGAGCTAAACAGGCAGTGATGTAGAATCGGTGGGTGGGGCTAAACAGGCAGTGATGTAGAATCGGTGGGTGGGGCTAAACAGGCAGTGATGTAGAAGCAGGCGTTGATCTTCTTCTGCGGAGGCAGAGTTTAGCCACACTAGTACAATGACCTCTTATATGTCAAAAGATCAAGAGAATTTGGATTTCTCAGTTCAGGACCCCTTTAATGGCAAGAGACGAGGTGAGAAAGACAAACTGAGAGCTGCAGATGTGGAGGTGTGCCATCGCTGGAGTTTCACAGATAAGAGTTTTTACATCAACAATCATGTTGACTGAAAGGATAGTCCTGAGTGTACGGCATTCACTTGAAGCCAGCTTCTCCTGTTGCCCTTCACTGGATGATCAAACACTCAGAAAAGTCTTAAAAATGTGAAAATTGAAATAATAAAAAGAGCTGACCTGGAGCTCAAATACATGAACCGTAAGTCTTGAATAAAATATGGCTTTAGCTCTAATCCAAAACCTAGTGAGCTGCATTTTTATGATTATTAATGCATCATGTTGTTATCTTAGCAAATATGCTAATGCCCAAAACATTGCTGTCTCACATGAATCATTAACTGCCTGATACGGTTACCCAGTTAAGGAAAAGTTATCTGGTCTTTACTAATGTTCTCAAAATATATTTATTCATTGCCCATGGAGCCTTTTATTTCTGAATGTTTTAAAACATTACCTTTTTTTTATTCAAAAATAACATTCCTATAATGTTTGCATGTTCCCTTAATTTTCTTACTACAAAGAAAAAAGTTTTTTTTAAACATTTTGAACGTTCAGAAAACATTCAAAAATAATGTTTTCATAATGTAATGAAACGTTAGCAAAACGTTGTTCGAAAATATTTAGTTTGCCGGGAAAGTTATCAGGTCTTTAATAATTTTCTTAAAACGTTAGCACAAAAACTTGAATAAACAAAAACTGTATATTTATACATCATTCATGGAATATGTATTTCTGTAACATTTTAATTGGTTTTTAAAATGTTTCAACTTGTTTGAGAACATACATTCAAAAGTAACGTTCAGTTCAGCAAAATTATCAAATGGAATGTTCCCTTATAACAAAAAAAAAGAAGAAGGTTTTAAAACTTCAAAAAAAAAAACTGGAATGTTTGGAATGTTCAGAGAACATTTAAAAGTAACGGTACTTAAATGTTTGCAAATTTAAAAATGGAATGTTCTCTTAGCATTCACATAACCAAAAAAAAAGAAAACATTTTAAAAAACTGGATGTTTTGAATGTTCAAAGAACATTTAGAAGTAACGTTTTCATAAATTTATGGGAACATTAGCAAAGCGCTCTTAGAACATATTTTTATGTTTTATGCTAAATTTTGTTTTGCTATTCGGCCCGAATCAGTTTTCTAAAGTGTTTTTGAAAAATCACATACCCTGCCTTTAATGTAAATTCCAACGTTTATTAATGCATTATTAAAATCACAAGTTGTGCTTGTTAACATTAGTTAATGCACTGTGAATTAACATGAACGAACAATGAACTAATACATGAACTAATGGAACCTTATTGTAAAGTGTTACCAATTAATTGTCTGAATCTGAAGGAATATGTCACATTTAAACTACTAACACAGGTGAAATGACTTCAAATCTCTTTGTGTGTGCTTAAAAATCAGTTGATTCCACAGTCATAAAAAGGAGCGACATCAAACACCTCAGTTCAGATTCTCTCTTTAAATGATGTCTGACTGAGACTCGAAACTTAGAAAGCCAAACAAACAGAACATCCATGGCTAAAAATAGACTTTTAATTTGGGTTCGAGGGAATTTAATGAGAACAAGCGCAGTCAGAATAACAGCCGTAAGTCCGGGACAGAGTGCGCTAGGAAGAACACGAGTGTCAGCTAAACGCAGGCCTTTCTCTCCGGACCAAAGCTGATTAAAACTTCCACAAGTGAACAGCAAAGTCAAATTAAACCCTCGCTTAAATCTCACTGGAGTTACAAAAAACAGTCTGGCATGGAGTTAAAATCTCCTCAAAGCTCTTAGTACACACTTCTGTGAGGTTTTCCATCTGCTGATTAACCAAAAACACATGATAATTCCTAGTGGGTCATTAGTGGCGTCTCAAAGAACCTGAATATAATCCTCAGCGCTCAATCCAACGCTACTGGCACATCAGACCATGAGCACATGCCAACACATGACAAGCCTCCAATATCCGATACTGTGCTATTCACAAGGTACTTCAAAGAGCATCACGGTATGATCATGGTAGTTGCTGAAGTGCTCATTTATCTGCTGCAGATGGCCTTGCAAGCGAAAGCATTTGTCGAGATGCTCATCTCACCTGGCTCTGTGCAGTTCTTCACCTCCGTCGCATTATCAGGAGTGGAGGACATCAGCCGTCGACCCCAGTGATCATGTGATTCCATGTGCGACTCCTCCACAATCATACCATGACCTGCAAAAACAAAACACTTGTCAAATCACTAGACAATAAAGAAAGAAAGTCATAAATGATGACAGAATGATCAATTATCAAATGAGTGAAACATCACTTTAAATAGCTCATTTCAGACTATCATTCTCAAAAAGAAGTTGTTATAAAATTGACAATTATTTAAAGGGGTCATATGATGCGATGACTCTGTTGCCCTTTTGGGCTTGAACTGATGGTAAAACTAACGACATTATTAACTGTCTTGATATTTACTTTGAAAGCTGAAGCTCGCGATTATGGTAAGTGGCGTTACATTTCCGACGAGTGCTTGTGGTGTTCGGCCTATCACAATGCACTGGGTCAGCTGGCCAATCAGAGCAGACTGCGCTTGTCAGAAGAGGGGGCTTTATTGAAAACGACGTGTTTGAGAGAGGCGGGGCATACAGGACCTACAATAATGTACAGTATTTGAAAAATAATGTGTTTTTTGAACATTAAAGCATGTCAACATATTCTGTTACACCAAATACACAAAATAATGATCTTTAAAATAGCATCATATGACCCCTTTAAAAGCACAATGATTACTTTCATCTTATATTTTGGGGTTACGCAGTCACAATAAGCAACACTGTTTGATTATGATATTCACCTCACATTAAATATTAGCCATATTGAATACAAATATTAAATATTGTTAAATGTAATTATTGCAATTAATTTATTAAATTATTATCTTAAATGAATATTTGTACATGTATTGACATTAAATATAATTTCAAATATTAAATTAAATTATTGTAACTACATTATTAAATGAAAAATTTATATTTGTACATATTAACATTAAATATAATTAATATTGTTTTAAATATAAACCATTAATAAATGAATCGTAAATAGAATAGAATAAATTACTAAATTAAATTATTAAAATTAATATCATATTAAATTGATCTCTTAAAAGTAATACTTTTACATGTATTAACCATGTTAGCCATATTAAAATATTAACCATCAATAAATATAAACATTAAATATTATTTCTGCTACCATCAGCATAGAATCAAACACTAATTAATTCAGCACTCAAACTACTTTATACAAGCCTAGAGCGCAGTTAAATCTCATTAGCGTCAAAAAAAAAAAAAAAAAATTTGAGTAATAAAGCAGACGACATTTGACTTTAGTGTGCTCAGCTTTAACGTAAAAGAAACATTTCCTTCAGTGAACGCCTGAGCAGCGCCGGCAGCGTTTGCTCCACTGCAGGTGTTTCCTTCAATCACAGGGTGTCAGTTAAAGTAAACCGGCCTAAATGCGGTCCAAACGACTGATGAGACTCTCATAGAGCACCTGAGCAGCTCCAGGCCAGAGACATTTCTCAAAGAGCTTCAGAGCAAGCATGTCAATAAAAGGAAGAGATTTTCACTTTCCCTCAGTTGCTTCCTGAGTGTTCGGGAAATTACACTGAGATCACACTTTAAAGACTTTTTAGTCTATAATTAAGAAAGACTGGGGAAAATAATATAATTAACATGGAAAAACAGGGAGAGAGGAGAGTGACAGTTTTGCATTTCTTTTCTCCTGAAGCTACAGATGAAGAGGAGGAAAACAGGATTTGCCTGATTAGAAAGGGAGGGCTGAATATATTCCCTCCGTCTTTGATCTTTCTTTCCTAAACCATTATGAGAAAAGCAATGAGTCTGACATTCACAATCCACACAAACACAAGTGACTGTCATGAGCAGATGGTAGAGAAAGGAGCCGTTTCTGATAACAGATTTGCTATTGTCTGGATGCTATCAGTGCAGAATAATCGTTTAAGCTTCTTGTTTTTATTGTAATTAATGCCTTTCAGAAGGCTTGCATTTAATTTAAGAATTACATTTGGGTTTGAGATATGGGCGTGAATGACATCTCAAATCAAGCCGCTTGTTTTTGCTCGTCTAGAAGATCAAACTTTTCACTTGGTAGATGATAGACATGCAGAAAAATCCTACAGACTTGCTTCTCACTTGAGAGAGTCGACGAGCTTTGCTTGCCTTGCGCATTTGGACATTTGAATTTTTAACCAGATACAGAAGGCTGCTATAGAAGACTCAGATGAATAAATTTTGCATGAAATCTGAACATTTGTGCATCTGTGAACAAATAACAGTACATGATGCAGTGTTATTTTAGTGTATGACTGTAAAAATATTATCAGTAAGTCATTTCAACTTATGTTTTTACATTACTTTAACTCATCAAAATAAGTTGAGCAATTTCAACTTTTTTTTAAAGTCAAATGAAATTCAACTTGATTTTTTTTAAACAGTTTAATGTAATTTAAGTGGAAAAGACTTGTACAACCAAGTTGATTATACTTAAAAAATTAAGGCAGCAATTGAACTTAAGTTTTTAAGTTGAAATAGTTGGATTTTTTTTTGTGTAATATTAAAGTTTTTATTAAATATTTTGAATTAGTTATTTTTTTATATTATCCTTTTTCATATTAATTTTAGTTAAAGTTTTAGTCATTTTGACGTGTGTGTAATATATTTGTATGTATATATATATATATATATATATTAAAATAAGAATTATTGCTTTGGCAACTAGCTTTTTATATATATTTTATATACAATTTTTTATATATATTTTCTTTTATTTCAGTTAATGTTTATTGTATTTCAAATAATAAAATTGTTTTATGGTTTTAGTTTGAGTTAACTATAATAACCCTGGTATGATGCCATTCACCATGTAAATATACTCCATTAGTGGCAAACAATTTAGCAAGCAGTCAAATTATTTGCAATTTATAAACAGGAATTGATTGTTTTGTTGCTTTCATTGTTGCTTTCATATCATGAATCCATAAATTGTTTCAATTTTTTGTTTTTATCAGTGCTCATCTGTTACTTTGCATTTTATTTTGGTATCTTTGGGATACTATTATAGTTTTTATTTTATTATAGTTGTTATTATTATTAGTGTGTGTGTGTGTGTGTGTGTGTGTTTCTATTTTAGTTTAATTTTAGTTAACAATAAAACCCCTTTCATAAACAAGTTATAAGCTGGTAAATGCTTCCTGGTAAATAGTCTTTGTTCTAAAAAATACAAATTGGACAAATACCTAAGAAAATGAGTATTAAAGTAATAAAAAGCTATTAAGCTAAATAAAATAAAGCTATTATGACCTTTAATCATTTAAACCTTTCTTTAAAATCATATAGGGGGAATATTCTGCTCTGTTCTATGTGTGCATGTAAGATGCATGACTTGACAGTTAAACCCATAAAGCATCATGAGCTTTTGATCAGTTCAGTGATATATGCATGTGCTGTTCAGTTCATATCACGATCTGAGCTCAATGTTTCACGATACCAGAGGAATGTGACTTTCATTTGCCCCAGAGGAATCAGACGGCACACTTCACACACATGCCTGACCATAAAAGACAAATCACCAGAGAATTGTGCATTTAAAATCTGACCATGTGTGCATAACGGACCCAACATACCGTCTCCGTCTCACACTGCAGCATATGAGACAGAGCATCGCCACCAACACACACACACACACACACACACAACCTTATGAGCTGACTACCTACACATATGATGCGCACACATGCAGTCTAGATGGGCAGCTCACTAGGTTTGAAGACACAGTCCTAGTGAAGCCACCTCTATAGATGCGTCTCATAAGAACAGGTGCGTCTGCCTCTATTATAGCTCATAGCACACAAATGTTAATACACATCCAAAAATGTGCAGGGCAAACATTTATGATTATGATTCATATAAACCACAAGCAGGATAATGTCACTAATGAATTTTATAGAACTGATTTTATGTAGATCATTGACCCTGAAACATACACACCTGTTCGTATGTCTACACACAATGATGCACATTTCTATATTTCATATTTGTATTTAAGGACAGCTGTCCATTTCATATTCTTCATAATTTGTGTATAATGTCATGCCAAAAATGTATTGAAGTATGTGTGCAAGATTGCAAATGAAATTTATAACATAATTTGGAAATGATGGGATCAAATCATTTTAGACATTTTCAGTAAAAACTCAAATTCATTATTATTTCTAAATAAAATAAAATCAAATAACAATAATATGATATATAATATTATATTAATTATAAATAATATTATTTACAATTAATACATTCAAATATGTTTATATTTTAGATTAAGTAATAAATAACTTGTTTTTATAGTTAATTCTTGGAGGTTACTGATCTCATTAATTATAAATTCAATTAGTAATGCTGTAAAGGATGTATGTGAGAGGGACAAACAAAATAAAAAATAGGAATATGTTTATCAACAAACACTTTTAAGATAAATATAGAATTGCATTAATAGTTTGATTTGAAATTAATATTAAAAGGGGAATTTAAGTATCCCAGTGCTGGCTCTATAATATATGATAGAAATTCAGTAAGTACTGTAAAGGATGTATGTGAGAGGGACAAACAAAAGGAACAAAATAGGAATATATTTATTGACTAACACTCTTAAGATAAATATATAATTGCAGTTCAGTTTAATTTCAAATCCATTTCAGTTCAATTTAGAATAAATATTAAAAAGGGAATTCAAAAATGCCATTACTGGTTTTAATGATGATATAAATTCAGTTAGTAATACTGTAAAAGATGTATGCATTGTAAGATGGACAAACAAAACGAAACAAAAAAAAAGAATATGTTTATTGAATAACACTGTTAAGATAGCTATAGAACTGTATTAATAGTTTAATTTATAATAAATATTAAAAAGGGAATTTCTGGCTCTAATTTACGACAGAAATTCCAATGTCAATGCTTAAGTTTTTTTTTTGTTTTTTTGTTTTTTTGCTAAACTCAATCAAAAGCTATATTTTTGACACTGAACACTTCTAATATAGGCTACTAATACTCCCATTTATGAATCTCACCGAACCGATAAGGGTAGATTAGTGATCCGTATCCATATGGATGCATTTAATTTCTGTTCCTCTTATTTGCATGAACTGTCCATTTCTAATTTAACGTCTATGTCACCTGGAAAGTCAAATTCCCTCCTCTACCTGTCCACTGTGATAGTGATCGCCGCTCTGTCTGGGACATCTGAGGGCTATGAGTGACACCCAGAAGCCGGTTCTGCTCGGACTCACCTGTCCTGGTCAGGATGGTCGACATGCCCCACGCCACGAGCAGAACACTGCAGACCAAACACACCTGCGCCAGCAGCATCTCCCTCCTCTTACGCACTTTGAACATCTTGGCGATGATGGATTTCTTGGAGACCGTCGTCATGGTGCGGTCCTGATGCTGCTCCTGATCCGCGCTGGTCATCGTCGCGGCTTCAATGAGCGCCGAAACGCGCGATGCGCAACCGGAGAGAGAGCACGATCAGAGGTCTGGATCCAGATACAGCAGCGCAGAATCCCAGCCTTCACCGTCCCAGATCCCTGCTCTCATCAGATTCCTCCCCGCCGCATTGCAACAACGCTGGAAACGTTCAAATCCCGCCTGCACGCATCCTGCGGCGCCGCATGCGTCTGCCGTGAAGCGCGCGCGTGTGAATAACATCGGTCTCAGGTGATGTCCTTCGGTCCCTCTGCTTGCGAAAGCATTCCCACTCTTCCCATCTGGATCGTCGGGAACTTTGCGCTCCTCTGATGTCCACCGGAGACACGTGACGTTCTGCGATCCGGTGCTTTCACGGCGGTCCAGCTGAAGCGACGCGTGACCGGCACCTACCGAGAGAGCGAAAGCATTTCACATGAGCACTGACATGTTATCATGTGCATGCATACTTTCATTAATGCTGATATTCCTGATTTTAAATCTGAATGAATATGTAAATTATATGTAAATTATTATGATTAGAAAGTTCCAATATGTTTATAATACTAATTCAAAGTTGTTAATCTTGTGTTTTATATTCCTGAATATATAGTTACAAAAGTAAAGTATAATTTACAAAAGACCAGTGAATCCAAACATATAATAGATTTGAATATGAATACATTTATAAATAAAACCTAAAATATACAGTTGTACATTTCTGTATGAAAATGTACAAATAACACTGCCATTCAAAAGTTGTTTTTTTAAGTATTGTATTTCTTTTTTAAGAAATTGATACTTTTATTTAGCAAGCACACATTAAATTATTCAAAAGTGACATTAAAGTCATTTATAATGTTATAAAAGATTTACGTTTCAAATAAATGCTTAATGTTCTAAATTGTTCTTGTCATCTCTCTATTCATCAAAGAATCTTGAAAAAAAAAGTATCACGGTTTCCACAAAAATATGAAGCAGCACAACTAATAATAATAATGTTTCTTGAGCAGCAAATCAGCATATTAGAATGATTTCTGAAGGATCATGTGACACTGAAGACTGGAGGAATGATGCTGAAAATTCAGCTTTGATCACAGGAATAAATTACATTTTAAAATCTATTCAAATAGAAAACAGTTATTTTAAATTGTAATAATTATTCACAATTTTACAGTTTTTTACTGTATTTTTGATGCAATAAATGCAGCCTTGATGAGCAAAAGAGACTTTTAAAAACATAAAAAAATCTTAGCGAAACTTCTTAATGGTAGTGAAGCTCAAACACCTAAAACGAAAATCAGTGGTCAAATACACACAAAGTGTCACATTAAGGGTGTGAATGTGTCACAAGAAGGTCAGATATAAAGTGTGTGTGTGTGTGTGTGTGTGACATGCTGTGTTAACATCTACCTTTATTTCAGTTACACAATGACCTTGAAGGTCAAATGTTGGTTTCAGACATGCATGGTGCTTCATCTAGACATATACAACCTGCACTGCTACATTAAGTGTCACGCCTCATACTGTCACCTCATATCTCTTCTATATGCTATTTATGAGCCTATAAATAAAACAGCACTGTCATTTTGTGCAACCCAAATTTACCTAGATATCTGAATTGCTACAAATGAATCTAAGTCCTAATAGAAAATAATTTTTTTTTTTTTTAATTATTAGAGAAAAAAGGGGGGAAAACATCAACATAAAACATTTCATAAACCATATATATACAGTGGGTACGGAAAGTATTCAGACCCCCTTAAATTTTTCACTCTTCGTTATATTGCAGCCATTTGCTAAAATTCCACCAACGTTTACCATCCAACCTGATAGAACTGGAGAGGATCTGCAAGGAGGAATGGCAGAGGATCCCCAATTCCAGGTGTGAAAAACTTGTTGCATCAAAAAGACTCATGGCTGTATTAGATCAAAGGGGTGCTTCTACTAAATACTGAGCATTTTTCAGTTTTTCTTTTTTAATAAATCTGCAAAGATGTCAACAATTCTGTGTTTTTCTGTCAATATGGGGTGCTGTGTGTACATTAATGAGGAAAAAAAATTAACTTAAATGATTTTAGCAAATGGCTGCAATATAACAAAGAGTGAAAAATTTAAGGGGGTCTGAATACTTTCCGTACCCACTGTATATATATATCTCAGTGTCCTTGTCCCAGGTCTGCTGTCCTTTGCTGTCACAGTACTGTTCAGCAGACAGAATCCACTCCTATTAACCAGCTTTAATAATGCCAGCATTTGCCTTAATTAGCCCGATTCTACTATAACAATAGTGTTCAATTAAATGCTGGTCAATTTTGATAATGGAAACTTTTAATTCTCCCATGCAATACAATTATAAAGCATACAGACACAGAGGAACGTGAGATGTGACCTCCAGAGAATGAGGACATTCACAGCCTCACCGTCTCACCGTCAGGATGATATACTAGAGTAATAAAACACCTGGACACATCAGCATTATTCTGCTCAAGATCACACAGGTGTCCTGAAGCAGAGAAGCACATTAACATCTCCATCATCCACTAACCACAAACATACAGAATACTGACTCTACATGTTCAACATTACATCTGTAGTTTTGGCATATTATACCCAATACATTTAGTTTTTTTGTAAAATGTTTTGCTTGAAAAGTTTGCTTATGCTACCATTCTTCAAAATGAATGAACTTTCTATTCAAATATTTGAGGGTCGGTAAGATTTTTAAAATGTTTTTGAAAAGTATGATTCTTCAGAAATCATTCTAATATGCTGATTTGCTGCTCAAGAAACATTTATGATTATTATCAATAATCAAACAGTTGTGCTGCTTCATGTTTTTGTGGAAAATGTGATACATTTTATTTTTCAGGATTTTTTAATGAATAGAAAGTTCAACAGAACAGCATCTATTTGAAATAGAAATCTTTTGTAACATTACATTTGTCTTTAATGTCACTTTTGATCAATTTAATGTGTCCTTGCTAAATAAAAGTCTCTCAAAATATTTTACTGACCTCAAACTTTTAAATGGTAGTGTATTAAAATAGAAAAGTTGTTTTAAATTGTAACAATATTTCACAATATTACTGTTTTTACTGTATTTTTTTATCAAATAAATCTTTGGTTTTCTTTCAAAAACTTCTCTAAAAAATTGTGCCCTAACCCAAACTTTTGAACAGTAGTGTGTATGATCTTTTAGTCATCCCAGTACTTTTTGGGGCATCTAAATACATCTGCAAAGTAAAAAACATTTTAAGACTTTAAAAATAGGTACAATGTGCTCTGTGTTCACAAGTTCATGCATTTGATTATTTTGTTTGCAGGGGACACAATTTGCGTGTCCTCGCCATATGGAAATATTTTGAAAATGATGTGAGGAAGTGAACAAGCTCTGAAATACAGAATTAAAAATCTATTGTTATTTGCTATTATTACAGAAACATCGCAGTAATCTGTGAGACTTTAGAAAGGCAGCATCACTTTCACTCTTAAAAATAAAGGTTCTTTATTTGGCATCGATGGTTCCATGAAGAACCTTTAACCTCCATGGAACCTTTCCATTGATCAAAAGGTTCTTTATTGTGAAAATAGGTTATTTTAGGTTATTAAAATGTATTTCACATTAAGAAAACAATGGTTTTAAAGGTGTATGTAATTTCTTGACTGTGCTAAATCATAAAAATACCATAATATATTTGCAGATGTTTAGGAAACATGCTAAGTTCACATACTGTTTTTCTCCAAAAAACAACGCCACAGCCAGTTATTCTTATCAAATGTGCATTCCATGTCAGAATGTCTGTTTTTGTTTTGGTCTGTGTGACTCCGCCCACTGTAGTATTTTGACACTCCGGGTTGTCAGTTGGTGGAAAACACAGCATACTGCAGCCATGGAAGCCGGCAAACGAACCGGGTCAGAGATCGCATATTCTATACGACCTAAAAAGCCTCAGCATTCAACTAAAAATCTCTATGACCAGATAAATATTAAAACGCAGATTAAACAACTCAAAACTCAATCAATCTGGCAACCCCCGAGTCTGAGAAGGATGAGTGGAAGAAACAACGTTCTCCAATATTTAGAATTTGGACTGCAGTACCCTTTTCAAATGAGAGCTGTCAATATCACATACTGCACCTTTAAGAACTGTTCACTGAAAGGTTCTTTGAGGAACCTTAAATGGTTTTCTTCTATGGCTTCACTGTGAAAACCCACTTTTATAACTTTTATTGTTAAGAGTGTACAACATTTGCATAAAACAGTGGCATCATACAGTAGATATTTTACTATGGCTAAACATTAAAGGGGTCATATGATGCAATTTAAATTTTTCAATCAGAGCACACCTCGTTTTTCAGACCGATGAGTTTTGTAAAAATCGACGCGTTTCAGAAAGGCAGGGCATAGAGGAGAAACAATAATGTACAGTATGTGGAAAATAATGTGTTTTTTGAACCTTAAACCGCATAAACACATTTCATTACACCAAATACACAAAATAATGTTCTTTTTAGCAACATCATATGACCCCTTTAATAAATAGTCAATATTGATTTAATATGGAGTTGGAGTCATTTGATTTGCTCTTCTGTGTCTTATTCTATGTCTTCAGGAGATCATGAGATGTCCATGGCTCTGGCACAGCAACTGTACACTTCTCTGATCTCGTGCCACGAGCATCCAGCAGCAGATAAATCCGTTTAGACGGCGTCTGGCGGAGCGGCATGAGAGCGGCTGACACAGAGCAGTAACAGTGAGTTTCACACTAGAGTCAAGGTCATCTGGATCATGAAAAAAAAACAAAAAAAAACATTATTCTTAAAATTTTATCACAATTATGATGCATCGTGATTGGACTGTGCCATTATTTTCATGACAATTAACCATGTAAAGCCTGACATATATGAAATATTAGTCAGAATTTTTTTTTTAATTGAACAGTTTATTGAACCTTTAGACAAAAAAAATGATAATAATAAATATCATTAACCAAAAAAAAATCATGTTTTTTTGTTGAGCATCATTTTTGATACATCAGGATTTATGTTTCATAATAGTATGAAATAGTGAGAATATGGAGAAAAAAAACTGCTCCATTTAGTCAGAGGCCCAAACTGCAAAAATATTCCATTTGTTGCAGATGCTGATATTTACATGGACAAAAAGTAAAAACAAAAATGTAAATCAATGGTATCTTTATAGGTGTATAAATAACTACATACATTCAAATGCATGAAAATATCAGTGTCACTCTATATCTCCAACAATATGCCTTAGTAAGATGATATTTAAATTTCTAGTTTGACGATCAAAGCTCTGTAGCTTCAAAAAAATATAATGCAGTGCA